TGAACCAAACAGAAATCCTTTCGAATGAAACAGTTCTGATGTCGAGAAAGCATATTCCACATTGAAGAAATGTAAAATGGTTTCCGTGTTTACATAGCCTGATGTAAACACGCGGGAGGTTGGGGGAACAGTCGATAAGCTGCGCTTATCTCATGTTCTCCCAACCTCCCGCGTGTTTACATCAGACTATGTAAACACGGAAACCATTTTACATTTCTTTTATAAAATAACTAATAAAAGAGGAACGAAAACCGTGTTTACATACGGTCATGTAAAATGGTTTTATGGCCAATCAGAGTGCGCGTACTATTTGAATTATTTCATAAGTATAGGAAATCGTATGAACGCGAGTGCATTTCGTGATTTATGGGCACGAGTGATGTTTTGAAAGTTCTCAAAATTGCACGAGCCGTAGGCGAGTGCAATTTGAGAACTTTCAAAACATCACGAGTGACCATAAATCACGAAATGCACGAGCAGGTTCATACGATTTTTTATTTATTATATTCTCGATTTTTTAATAATTTGGTGTTCAAATTTGGCGCTTCCCCGGTGTTTCCATGGCAACTTCTCCGTATTGCACTCTATAACCTCTATTGCACTCTATAACCTATTTATGCATTCATCATTGAGCAATCAGAAACGCGATATTTTGTTGAGTATATAATAATAGATCTTTATCCATTCTATTCACTCTATGTATTGAAGTGGTATTAAGAACGAGTATCTGTAAGAATCAAACATCTTGGCAAATGAAAATTTTCAACCCCCCTTCAAATTTTGCATGCAGCTAGGCACTCAGGGGGGATGCACAAAAATGCCCTTTTTAAAGGTCGCAGCACTCTTGTTGCCATGGTAACAACGACTGCTTGTTCGAGGCCTGGGGCCTCATTTTCATACAAAAACGTCGCAAAAAAAGAGCGAAATGTTTATTTCTCTGTCTCAAGCTAAATACAACATTACAAATTGTCACTTCTACTATACATAGTGACATCATTCGTCTTCACTTTGATTTATTCAATTTTCCCTGGGAGTGAATGTGAACACACCAATAGATTATTCATCTCGGTACAGTTTCAGTCATTTTTGTTGTCGGGTAAAACAGGGAAAACATTTATCCGAATTTCTCCAAAAGTACACCGATTCTGGAACTGAAACTACCCACCTAGCTGCTTATAATATTCTAGTTTTTAAATATGTAATAATCTCTGCGGGCCTGCCTCTACTTTTTAGAGAGGCAATTCGCGAAAGAAGCTCAAAATGAGATATTGCATAATTTGGCGATGTTTACATCCAATGTTCTCAACAACAAATGTTTCAGACAAATGAAACATGCACGGCTTTGGAAGAATGTTATCTTATGAGCAATATCCCAGAGAGAAATCTCGCCTCTGGTTGAAACGAGATAAACAACAAAACAAGCGAAAACAACTTACCTATTAGTCCCTATACGCCGGTGGCTTGAAATCACACTTTATAAATTAACTTTGGATGAACAGGCGATTAATGAAAGCGGGAGAGAAAAACTATGTAAAGGAATCAAATGGCACAAAGGCCAACTGTAACGCAAATGTCACGCAAGTTCGAAAGTCACGCATTTACATTGACAGTTTTGAAGTTTTAAGCGGATGCAAAAATCGAGACAGAAATTCGTCCTGACACAATTTGTCCTTTGATTTTGTCAGGAGAATTCTGGTTTTGTCTGCCATTGCAGATATCCCAGATAGGCACTTACGAACCAATTTTTAGTTAAATAATAGCCTTCACTATCGAGAAATTGCAAATATATTACTCATGTGATACGAATACAACTTAAATTCCGAAAACTTCAAAAACATCTCCAGTCAGTCTGGCTTTCTTTTACTGCCTCACATTTTCCCTTGTGCTGTGGCTGTTAACAAGTACCTCCACCGCATTTCTAACGTTTCTTAAAGTGTTTAGATGTTTAGAACATACCAATAACTGTTATATCTTTTTCGATATCGTGGTCAAACTGACCGGAACGAAACAAATTTAACTTGTAATCAAGGATTTCGCTGGATAGCTGGTAGTACTTCAAATAACTCGATACGTCGTCCCAGGGGAGAAATCAGGGCTTAAATATCCAAAGCCACTCCAATCTTTGCTTTCCGTGAATCAAGTACACATTTAAACGATAAAATTCTCATTAAAATGTAAAATCCTTCAGCACATTTTAATAACTTTCGATTCGAATTTGTTACACTAACTAATTTTGGTTTCAATTTGTAGAACCCGCGAAACAGGCCATATGGCAAGGGGAAAAATTTGCACAATCACGTCACGCAATATATCAAGCTGGGTTTGTCCAGTTGATTTTGATGGTCGCAGGGAAATGTCGAGTTTGTCGCTCAAAACCGCTGTGGTCCATAAGAGCGTAACATCATTAGTGATGGAAACAAATCTGCGGAAAGGAGGGTTAGTTCATCGGGTTCCGTATACTAAATCTCGGGAGAAACTGCAAGAATTATTTCAGAGTGTATGCGTGTTGTTTTGTAAATATAAACACTGCAACCTATTTTAACTTGTTTTTGTGTCCTTTCAAACAACGCGATATGTCTGTTATGACCAGAGTGCCAAATTTTATTCTTTAATTTTGATCTTCTCCACACTGTGCATAATTCATGACCAGATATTTCAACGTAAATTATCGAGAAGGCGCCTTCCGATCGCCTTTGTCTACTTTGTAAGTCAGGCAAGCGCGCAAGCGTTACGACCGATCACGTTTACGCAACGTTTTAGGACAACTCGGCATCTAATCGCCATTCACTTGCTGTGAAAACCTAAAATCCTTAACGTAGAAGATAAACGAACGAAGTTTGAACTGTCAAAAGGAGATCTTGGTCAATTCCAAGAATCATGCGAATGATCTTTGACATGAGCGCAATTGAGCAAACACATGGATTTACGTTGTTTTTAAGAATGGTGGATAGAAGCTAGAGATATACCCGCGGGTTTAAGGCAATCCGTGACCTCATTGGTGTATAAACTATGCACTGATATGCTTTTTCGGCCCGATTAACGCCTGCATTTTGAGAATTCTTTCGTACAAAGTAGTGAATTTTTGATATGCAAATTAAGGTCGAAGAGCAGGGTCTCCTCTGATCACGCTGGTATGAAAAATATTTCAGCTGAAGTTCCATTTTTTGTCTGTGAACTAACTGAATACATCTTGTAACTTGTAGCAAGATAGAATTCCGTGAGCTACATTGTTGCAGTCGCTGCGCGCTGGACAAAATCTTTGAAATTGACACTTTCGATCGCTGTTCACAGGGTGGTCTGGCCAAAAATGATTTTTGGCTTGTGGCGACGCAAAAAAAGAGAATTGGAGAACAACTAAACTATTTTTGAAACATGTGCCCTAAACCCTTTTCATGGGCAAAAAATAAAAGAAAACTTTTTTTCCGACGGGAAGTCAAGAGGACCGCTCTTAGCGGGAGCGGCACTTAAGAGGCTGAATAACAACAAAACTGTTTCCTGATTTGTCGCTGATTCTTTAAAGGTCTTAGAAATAAAGGGTTGGATTTTTGATACTGGAGAGGTATTTTCTTGTTTTGCTCGGTGAATGATTTCAAGAAGAACCTTTCTTGGATTTTGATTACGCCAAAAGTAAATTACGGGGTTAGAAAGCGAATTTAAGACCGCAGCACAAACAGTCAAACTTATCAACACCATTTTCATACCCGACTCGAAAAAATTTGTGAAAGCCTGAATTGAGGCAATGGTTATCGCAGACAAGTAGGTCAGCACTAAAGTTCCTAGAAGTAACTCCTTAGGAGCAGTGGCCATTTTAGAATGAAGGTTTGGTTGCTTCTATCCACATAGAGCTTAAAAAGTAAATTTCATACAGAGACGGAAATGGGTTTGTTTACGCCAAAAATCCTTCAAACCCTTTGTGCACGCGTAAATATTATCTAGCTTAAGCTATGGTATATTGAGACGCGCAACACATTTAAAACAGTCACCAGCGAGCGAAAATATTTGATGAATAACAAACATATATAATCCTATGTTTTCCAAGAAGTCCGCTTTAAGGCTAATTCATCAGAAGCTGACTGCGTGGAGTTAACGTTGTAACACTGAAGGAAAAATCTGATAGAAAGAGAAGGAAGATGGTTGCTTTTAAGACAAGAACTGGTTGTGATGTTTAAAACAAAACGGAATGGATAAATTCCAACCAAAAAATGAACTCCTATTATCGAAAAGCTTTTTACATTGTTTTAAGATACGCCCTGTAAAGTTTCCGGCCACTGAAATACTGGCTTTGTGTAGAAGTAGCCCTGTGTTTTTTCATTGTGCTCTTTATACCCAGAGTTAGAAGTTTTCCCACCAAAAATTAGTCGCAGAATCAGTCATAAGTCAAACAGTCCAGAAAGTTTACATGCGTACCAGATTTATTCGATCAAACGCCGCCCTCGAATAAACACCGCATCGTGATTCGACAAGCACTAAAACATGTTTCTGCTTTTGAAAATTAAAATGATCAGTTACCATAGTATTGTTTGCAAGAAATCAATTAGATTTTAAATGAGCGCCGCCTTCGTATAAACGCTGCCCTCGAACAAACGCCGACTCGAATCACGAAAAATTCAATAAATACGGTATGTAAATAGCGCCTTTTCATCAGGTTTCCCTGAAAATCTTCTGGTACCCCATTTATTATACCCCAGGATTGAGAGAAGAACTGTAAAAAAAAAGCGTATTGCCCAAGAACATAACGTAAGTACCTGGCCAGGTTTTAAAACCAGATCTCCCGATCTGGAGTCCAGCCCACTAACCATTAATGAGATCCAAGTAAATATGTCCTCTTGAAAATTTGGAATTCTGTTCTAGCCGCCACGAGAAAACTAGCAAGAAAACTTATTGTCCCATCCTCTGCCACATCAGTTTGTTTTGCTTGTGTCTAGATTAATCCTATCACTGGAAATGGTATAGAAAAAACTGTCTATGGCCTGGACCGACAGTTATTGATATCACGTTATTTACAAGACATGATCATCTGTTTCCCCTATGCGAACGATTTCTTCAGCTTTAAAATGGCTGCATGACAACAAAACTACTTCCTGGTTGGGCGCTGATTCTTTAAAGGTCTTAGAAATAGAGGGCTGAATTTTTGATACTGGAGGGGTATTTTCTCGTTTTTCTCGGTGAATGACTTCAAGAAGAGCCTTTCTTAGATTTTGATTACGCCAACAGTAAATTATGGGGTTAAAAAGTGAGTTGAAGACCGCAGCACAATCAGTCCAGCTTATCAAAGCCATTTTCGTACCCGACTCAAAAAAATTTGTGAAAGCCTGAATTGAGGCGACAGTTATCAAAGGCAAGTAGGTCAGTACTAAAGTTCCTAGAATTAAGGATAGTGTGACGGTTGCCTTGTTATTTACATCTTTCTTCAACTCTTTAGCTTCTTGAGGTGACAGCTGTCCTGCCTGTAGGCGTTTTTTCTGTCGCTGTGTTTCAAGGAAGATGGACAGATACATGAACGTTATGCCAATGATACAAAGTAACACGAATAAAGCAGTCACAACGATATTCACCATCCAATATAACGCATATATGTTCGTTGTACTTTCTCTGGTGGCAATCACAATTTCCTGAATCGTTCCAAAAACTGTGATGACCCACGCAACAACCACTGCCTTTTTGATCCTCTGTCCTGTGACAATCTGTCGGTACCTTAAGGAAAACTTTATAGCAATATATCGGTCCCCGCTTATCAAAAATAGAAAAGTCAGCGTAGCAATGCTTTGTACCCAGAAAACTACAACGTGAGCCTTTTCTAACTCACAAAATGGACCGATCTCAAAGGCTCGCTTCACGTTGACCGCTATGGCAATGGGTATAACAACCAATCCGGCCAGCAAATCTGTCCCCGCCAAACAAGCTAAGAGTTTGTTTGAGTTGGTTCGCAGTTGTCTCTTTGTGGCCACCGCCAAGATAACTAACCCGTTTAAAGAGACGGTTGGGATAAGCAGTATTGAGAGAATACATATTAAAGCTACCAAACTTCTGTAAATGTCACCTGTGAGATACGACTCGCGCCAAACCATTCCTCCCAAGTAGGTACACTCTTCTCTATCTCGGTCAGTTGAGTTCGCCAGGAAAGGTAACTCCTTAGGAGTAGTGGCCATTCTTGATTGAAGGTTTGGTGGCTTCTATCCACGTAGAGCTTCAAAAGGTGAATTTAAAACCGAGACAGCGATGGGTTTGTTTATGCCAAAAATCCCTCAAGCCTTTTCCCACGATTGGTTTATTAGAAGTGCACGGATCAACGAACGTTTAAACACCACCTTAATGGCGTCCTCTTTTCCTGTATTTGTTTTGCTCTTTATTTGCGTGGCTCAATGACTCATTTTGTGTAAAACTAAGCATCTGTTTCTCATTGTGTTGATTCCATCCAATATTATGGACTTTTCCAATAAGGAATTAGTTGAAAACTCGCTCAACGGGAAAGGGACGTTTCCAATTTAATAAAATAGACGTTGTTGAGGCGAATTTTATGTTTTTTCTTCTTTTTCTTTATATTTCTCATACTCCTCGTACCAGTTATTAAATTACGGGTGTTCTTTTAGCTTTTCACTTCATTTTTTACCGTTTTTTTCGCACTTTATGTGCCGTCCACATGACATGGAGTTAGTAATTTAGCAATTTGAAATCTGACCCTTTTTTAATTGAATGCCGTGCGCCGGTTTCAGATTTCAAACCGTGGCTGTCCAAAGGAAATACGGAGCGACAACTCGCCCACTTTTACCGAGACAGAAAAGGAAATTAGACTAGTCTCCTTTAGAATGGGATCAAGAAGAGATAACATAACTTGAGAAATGCTTATTCGAAATGTTAGCAAGACGATGAAAGCGATTCTTCGAGTCCCAAATGCGCTAACTAGTTTAGTAATCCTGCGCAGAATGTTCGCTGAGGTTCTACCACCCTTACAGCCCTATCATCGTTCCAAGCAGCGACGATCCAAATGACTGCGAATTTCTTACTCTGAGCCCTTATTTGCTTCAATGACCGATCATCGGGACTGTTCGAACATGAAGATCTTTACAGAAGGTAGCATTGGAGAAGAGCATAGTTTCTGGCCAATTGCTTTTGGAAAAGATAGCTCAACGAACTCATTCAAACTCTGCAAGAAGGTTGCTAATGGATACGCCAGAAGGGCGAACTAGGGATTTAAAATTTAATCCCGGTCGTGGACAAGAATTCCTTTCGTGTACGATGGCTCCTTGGTCGCGTTGTCAAGGTCTCTCCTGGACAGGATCGCTGGGTCCACGTAGCGGAAATAGAACCATTATACTACATTCATCTGGAGAAAGCTCTGAAATATGTTGAACTATTGTCGAGCTCGTGGACGCTTATTCAAGTTACTGAAAAATTGTCTAACTCGATGTTTTACTGAATAAATTAGGCCATCCTGTATATTCCACGTTTCACGCTCTTATAGAAGTGTGTATCGGTTTTAATATTTGGTCCTGTTTAAACCCGTTCTGTGCGAGTGTATCGTGTTTTCTATTTTCTCTCAGTATTTGGAAAGTGTTTTTTTGTCTTTGTTTGTATTTATTCAGTCCCGTCCTATTTGTTAGCATATTTTGTAAATGTTGCTTCTCTGATTTTTTCGGAATTTAGTTCTTCTTTACCAACAGATTATAAACTCTTCTTGTCTTCACACATTAAAAAGGGTAGTAAACCATCCGCTGAGCTACACTTTTTTCTTTTATTTTAGAGTTTATTGAAGCGAGCTTCTGCCTCTTCAGAAGTATTACATTATTTCGTTTGACAGTAATGATGCCGCAATCACCAAAAAATGTGCATTTCAGAGAAATGACGGGCTCTCCCACGCTCATGATAAGACGAAAATCATCTTTCTCCAGTTACCGTGCTCAATTAGAAAGATGTTGCCATCTTTCCAATTTCTAGTTCAGTTTAATTTTCATAGCTTTTTTATAGTATTTCTTATTTTTGATTCTCCGTCTGAGAGTCATATTTTAGAATTATTCATAGATTACGTGGAGGTGAATAGTGATGGTTATTTATCAACTGCACAAAGTAGAGTACAAATAACACGCGAATAGAGTACAAATATCTTGCGATATTTTACGGTTATTTGTACAGTTGGTTTTTTTGCATCGTAAAAAAGCGTACTTAACCAGTCGGCTATGCGCTATGCTTCTCTATCCGCTTTGCTTTTCCCGCCTTATGAGAAATGAGCAGAAAGACTTAGCAGAAAAATAAGCAGTTGGATGATAATTTATTTGACATTTTGGTGCTTAGTATGACGAGTTGTGCCCTATTTTAACGAAATCGTAGTCGATATTTGAATGTCTAACAGTAAAACGGCAAAAAGAATCTAAGCATTAGGCGTAAAATTGACAAATTTTAATCAATAGTTGCAGACCCGTTAAAGAAAAAAATAAACCGCAAAAAAACTAGCATCTCTTGTGACAACAATGACAAAATGTTAACTGTTAACCGTAAATTGACCAGAAATTTTTAACCGTCAGCACAAAAAGCCGTCAATTCATTCATTGACAGCCTCATTTATGTGCTCCGATTATTTCTGTCGAAAAGAAACAAAGCAAGCAGACGAAAGGCAGCTGTGAAAGTGATATCTTTTCATCTCTACATACACTTTTATCGATAGAAGAACAAACTCGTTTGTCGCCATCAGATTAACACGGGCTTTTTTGCGAGCGAAAGAGCGGTTTTTGCGGGATATGAGATTTAAAAGGACTTATAATATGAATAAACGCCTTTCTGGCTCGCTGCAAATTTCCCTTTGGTCCTCAAAGCTACGCTTCTCGGCCAGATATATTTTTCCCACAAGTTGCAGCCGTGGAAATATCCGCCTAAAGGGGTTTATCTACTAAATATTATCCAGTTTAAGCAATGGTATATCGAGACGCGTGACGCATTTGAACCAGTCATTAGCGAGCCAAAATATTTAATGAATAACAAACATTTATAATCTCCCCAACTTAGAATGTTTACCAAGAAGTCCACTAAAAGGCTAGTTCATCACATGCTGCATGACAACGTGGATAATAATTTTTACACTTTTCTAAGATACGTCCTGTAAATTTTCCGGCCACTGAAATGCATGGCTTTGTGTGGAAGTAGCCCTGTGTTTTTTCATTGTGTTCTTTATACCCAGAATCAGAACTTTTCCCACCAAAAATTAATCGCAGACTCAGCCATGAGTCAAACCGTCCAGATAGTTTACACGCATACCGTACTAATTCGATCAAACGCCGCATCATGATGCGATGAATACTTTCGATCTTTCTTCATTCTATTCTCTCTGTGTATTACAGTAGTATTAAATTTCAAATTGTGAAATTTAGAACGATATATAAAAATAACTTTTTAGACAAGCACTAAAACATGCTTCTGTTTTTCAAAATTAAAATGGTCAGTTACCATACTATTATTTACAAGAAATAAATTGGGTTTTAAATAAGCACTGCCCCCGAATAAATGCCGGACTCGAATCACGAGAAATTTTATAAACACCACGGCGTATAATCAAGTAAATACGGTATGTAAATAGCATTGTTTAGAAAAAGTAAACTCTATACTCGAGTCAAGTGGGCCACCCAATCCTCTGTCGGCCACACCAGTTTGTATTGGTTTTGTCTAGACCAATTATATCACAGGAAATGGTATAGAAAAAAACTGTCTATGGCCAGGACTGACAGTCACTGATGTCACGTTATTTACAAGACATGATCATCTGTTTTATGCATGTGAAGGATTTCTTCAGCTTTAAAATGGCTGAATGACAACAAAACTGCTTCTTTGTTTGGTGCTGATTCTTTAAAGGTCTTAGAAATAGAAGGCTGAATTTTTAATCCTGCGCTGTAAAACGAAGAGTTGATTTGGCCCAAAAAATGAGGCCAAAACGAGTGAGTCCAGTTTGGTACTGGCTTGGGGTCAATTCGGCCCCACTGAAATGGGGCTGTTTTTGACACCAATTTTTGGGGCTAAATCGACCCAATTGTAACGGCCAATTTGGAAAATACTGGAGCTACATTGGAATTTAAAGGGGCAAAAACAGCCCCCCAAATTTCAGCCCACTCCCAAATGACCCCTTTAAAAATAGCCAATTCAGCTCCAATGAGGTACCACTTCAGAAGAAGAGGGCTCTTTCATCTCCTTGCCAATTTCCCCCCTTACAGACAAATAATGAAAATACACCACATACTTTATCTTTCAAACACTCATTTATTGGGGTCTAGATATTGTTTATGTAAAAACCTTTTACAGTGTATGATTTTACAATTAAGAATCTTAATTGTGGTAAAAAACAGACAAACTTTGAAACATCATGTGAAAGAATAAAATATACACACATATTTAACATTAATTCAACCATTTTCTAAAATAGATCTCTTCCCTAAATCAGTATACTTCTAAACAGTGCAAAAATTGCTAGAAATAACACCCAAGAGACACTTGTGAGTAAAGCTTCCCTTTTCAATGACTTAGCAAATGTGATAATGTAAGGCAGCTTATAATCAAAAGTGATTTAAAGTACAGAAAATTATCAAAATAAGACAAAGGCAACAAATGGTTTAGTTCCTGCACAAGAATATAGATCTTGTTTGATTTGTGCATCTGAGAAACAAAGAGTCTTACAGCAGCATTGAGTATTCTTCCAGTGGATTTGAGAATGCATGCACTCATAATGCTACTTTAGATATTATCAAAATATAAACTTTCAGCAACTACTACCTCAGGCATTTGCCAAGTCATTGAAAACGGAGGAAACAGTGGCAAGAGTCTGCCTGTGCCCAATTTCCAATAATGCTTGCTCTAAAACAGTCAACATTGCCGTTTACTGATTATAAGAAACATTGAAAATATAAATGAGCCAAATAACCCAATGAGAACATCAAGAATATTTTCTTGTGGGAAGTGACAAATTACACTTCCCTCTGTTACTATATACAGGAGATTGATGTATTGAAGATCTCCAACAATTAAAATTTGTGCTGGACATAATCTCTGATTGCTGAATCAACATCAGCTACGCTATGCAATAAAAACAAATTTTACAACCATATTAAAATTAAGCCAAAGTGCAAAAAGTGCCTGTAGCCAGTAAAAAAAAGAATATTATATAATGTTTTTC